TTTTAAAGAGAACTCGCTCAAGTTTATATGATTTTGTTCTATTTGGTTCAGCTAAAGAATTAAACATATCCTGGAAGGAAGCTGGAAGGTTTTCATAAAAGTATTTATGCATAAAAGATAGAACACCTAGTTTATATGTATCATCAAGATTTAGGAGTTCTAATCTGAAAAATATTGGATCTGAATGTGCCTTAAATGAACTATTATTTACTGCTCTAATTGCCCTTTTTTGCAAAGACTTGATTTTCTGTAGTTTAGCATTTTTTACACCCCCCCATGTTATAATTCCATACTCAATATGTGGCCTTACAAGTGCATTATAGACTAGTATTAATAATAGTAAGTTTTGTTATTCAATAATAATAAGTTTTGTTATTCAATAATAATAAGTTTTGATATTCAATTAAAATAAGTTTTGTTCTTAAATAATAATAAGTTTTGATATTCAATAATACTAAGTTTTGATATTAAAAAATAATAAGTTTTGTTATTTAATAATAGTAAGTTTTGTTTTTTACTAATAAAAAGTTATTATTCAATAAAATAAAGTTGTTTTCATTTAATACTAATAAGTTTTGTTCTTTAATAAAAATAAGTTTTATTATTAATTATTTTAAGTTTGTTATTTGTATTGTTAAAATTGTAAGTTTTTTATTTCAATAATCATAATAAGTTTTAAAAAAAAATAAAAATAAGTTTTATTAAATTTAATATTTGTTGTTAACCTGTTTTCATCATGTCTAGGATTGTAAGTGTCGTACACTCCATTGTGTTGATGGGGTTGCTGATATACATTGCCCTGAATATACACAATATGTACAATATGAACATTGTACTGGTTATAGGGTTGCTGGGATTGCAGTACATTGCCCTGAATATACACAATATGTACAATATGAACATTGTATAGTTGGCGGGGTTGCTGGGTTGTTAATATACATTTCCCTGAATATACACAATATGAATGTTGTTACCTGAGATCCACCATTACGTTGGGTTTGGGGAGGCTCCATATCATATTGATCAGATATTGAACTCTGCTGATATTCTTCATACATACTAGAGGATAATATATTTATTATTATTATTCTTGTTATTTTGATCATCAATATTAGTATCATCTTTATTATCATTTCATCATAATAATTATAATTGTCAATTTTTTATCATTGTCTCTGCAATTATTAACAACACGCTATCCGCTTTCCGAATTGAAAATAATCATCATTATTATCATCATTAACATTCTTTTCTCCTGTTATAGAAAACCAAAATTGTAATTTTTTTATTTAATTATAAAAAGCTTTTTATTTAATCTTATAATAGCTGAAGTGCCCGGCGTTTGTCTGTGGTATTTTCAAAACATTTAAAGAAAAAATTTCGATTTTTTTTAGTCTATGTTACACAAAGGTTCCCTTCCCGTTGGGCCAGCTATAGCTTACATTTATATATGCGCAAGGAGTTTTATGATATAGATAAGTTTTGTTTTTTAATAATAATAGGTGTCTTTATTTAATAATAATAGGTGTCTTTATTTAATAATAAGTTTCTTTATTTAATATTAATAAGTTTTGTTATTAAATGGTAATAAGTTTTGTTCCTTAATTATAATAAGTTTGGTTATTTAATAAAAATAAGTTTTGTTATTCAATAATACTAAGTTTTGATATTCAATAATAATAAGTCTTGTTATTCAATAATAGTAAGTTTTGATATTCAATAATAATAAGTTTTGTTATTCAATTATAGTAAGTTTTGATATTCAATAATAGTAAGTTTTGTTAATCAATAATACTAAGTTTTGTTCTTTAATGATAATAAGTTTTGTTCTTTAATAATAAGTTTTGTTATTCAATAATAATAAGTTTTGATATTCAATTAAAATAAGTTTTGTTCTTTAATAATAATAAGTTTTGATATTCAATAATACTAAGTTTTGATAT